GACAGCACTTAACAACAACAACAATCATTCTCAAGGAGTCCTGGTATGGTGTTTCAAGATAAGCACTGGACTGCTAACTCCAAGGTTGATGGTTCACGCCCATCAGCTGCTCCTCGGAAATCCTATACAGGCCACTATAAGTCAGAACCATCTCAGTAGCACTTACAATATCTCAGTAGCACTTACAACAACAACGTTATTCTCAATTTATAAGATAGAGTGACTAAGGTTTAGTCACTGGTGTGGCGCTGTGGGATAAAGTTCTGAACCGCAAGGTCACTCCATACCACAAGGTTGGCTTTTCAAACTCATAAGCCGCTCCTTGGAAACCCTATATAGGGTGGGTCACCATGAGTCAAAAACCAAGTCGACAGCACTTAACAACAAGGTTTAGAGAAGTTACATCCAATTTTACAGAATAAAAAAGCAACAGAGCTGGGTCTCAAATAAGCTCTGTAGGACATCAGGCACTAAATGACACAATTCTACAAAATACCATTTTACAAAGCAAAGACACCTAGCCAATTATCTGCACTACAAGCTATTTCAAATTTTGATCGAGTCTCATTAGTTAAAATCTATTGACAGGATTTTATAAAAGAGCCCAATTTCTAAAATTTATCAGGTAAAAAGAATATATAAGATAACAAGGTGTCTGCTGTATGAAGACAGACCATGGCAGACATAAGTAACTAGAAAAAGGACTGTCAAGTACAAGTTGAAACTGACAAAAGCAGAATTACACTAGGTCAACAGGAGTAAGAAATAGTTAACTTCAAAGTTCAGAGCTAATCTACTGATATTAGGGAAGCATCTGAAATTTAAATTAAACCACAGAATAACCTCATTAAAACTATGACCCGGCTCCGGTGGTGGCTGTGTACCGAGGAGTCGGTTCCGACTCATAGCGACCCTATACAGGGTTTCCGAGGCTGTAAATCTTTACAGGAGCAGAACACCTCATCTTTTTCCCGTGGAACTGCTGGTAGTTTCGAACTGCTGACCTTACAGTTCGCAGCCCGATTCGTAACCACTACGCTCCCAGAGCTCCTTAAACTATGGCCTAGGTAACAATAATCCAAACTAAACTGTACTGAGCACACCATGTGCCAGGCTCTATACTAAGTAATACACCATATGCATCATCTCATTTGTCTTCCAAAACAGCCCTAAAAGGTAACTTTAACTACTATTATTCTTTTGTAGGTGAGCAAACTAAAGTCCAGATGATTAACTTGCCCAAGGTCACATATTCAGTTTACAGCAAAGCAACTTTGGACAAAGGCAGTATAATTCCTAAGCCTGAATTCCTTAACTTTAACTACCATACCTATGGGCTCTACTTGCATGCTACTGTTGTTTCTATTAAACGTCCTCAGTTTAGACTCATAGTGACCTTGTAAAAGTTTCCAAGGCTTTAAATCTTCAAGGGAGCAAAAAGCTTCATCTTTCTCCCCTACTTGCATAGCACGCATTTGAACTTTACCATCTTAATATATCATTAACTTTAAAAAAAAAATTTTTTTTTTTAAACAAAACTGACTAGGTTTTTTTTCCAAAATAAAACAGAAAACGTACAAACAAGGTTATCCTCAATATGTATACTACTGTTGACGTTAAGTGTATTCAAGTCAGTTCCAATTCCTAGTGACCCTGTACAGGGTTTCCAAGAAGCGGCTGGTGAGTTTCAACCACTAACCTTGGTTCAAACTGACCTTATGGTTCAGTGCTTATCCTTCAGCGCCACCAACTACAAACTTTTCAATTATTTTCACAATCTACAATTTTTATAATGTTTTCATGTGGCGAGCTCATAGAAACTTTTGAGTGAATTAAAATGATTAAGTTTAACCTTTCCGCACAATCTACTGTAACATTCACAACTTTATCTAATAAAGTTAGACTACAGCAACAGACTAAAACTTTTAGGTATTCGAAATTTTTACATTTCTTGACTATTTTACTTGATCATAGTACTTGACTATTGTACAAATGATCACAGAACTTTCAATTCTCTGACTTTTTAAAAAATGGTCTAACTCAAATTGCAGATAGCTAGGATGGCTTACTGACGAGAATTCAACCAGATGTGGACCGCAACATCTGTTTAAACTGCAAGTTCAGCAGTTCAAGCACACCAGTCTCTCCTTAGAAAACCTATACAGAGTCACTATGAGTCGGAACCAACTTGACAGCACTTACCACCACCACCTCCACCTCCAAAAAAATTAAAAAATACAAGGATTTAATGTGAAATTAAACCAATTTAATCTGTGCAAAGAAAACAATAAAGTGCACATTTAAGAGAGCAAATACATTAACTCGGTTACCCTGTCAGGAATGAAAAATATAACCAGTTTTAATAACCACCCCCCAAAATAGACTAGATGCATAATCTACATACAGTAAGGAGCTCTGGTAGCGTGGTTACAAGTCGGGCTACCAACCTCAAGGTCAGCAGTTCAAAACTACCAGCTGTTTCGCGGGAGCAAGATGAGGCTTTCTGCTCCTCAATAAGATTTACAGCCTCAGAAACCCTGTACAGGGTCGCTATGAGTCTGAACCGACTCCACGGCACATAACAACAACTTTAAGTATGCTCTGTAGCTAAACTCTTAAGATAATTTTCCAGTAATACTTGCTACCTTACAGCTTTTATCAATAATAGTTTTATTAATAAGATACTACAAAAACCAAAAAGATTACCAACCTTTTTTAGCAGATTACAATATTCAGTACAATATAAATTATAATCTGATTTGGATTTGTGAAAATGAAGACAATCTCCTTTCGACTTTTTGACGAACCTATCCTTGGAAACCCTATATAGGGTCACTATGGGTTGGAATCTACTAGACGACGGCACTTGACAACAACAACATTCCTCATTTACATTTACAGTTCTCTTAAATTTAACCTATATAAATATGTAAATGATAAGTATACCAATGGGATCAGCATAACGTTATGAGTTCTATTTCAACAGCACAGAATGCAAAACTAAAGTCAGTGTGTTAAGAATAAGGAAGTCCACTACTCTCCAAAAACAGGGTACAAATTACAATTCCATGCTCTTCAATACATGGACCTATAAAAGCATGCAAAACGCAAGTGAAATTGTAACTCCCAACACTCACTCATTTGTTATCCTTTGGAAAAGTCACATGTTCAGCTATCAAATAAAGCTTAAAATCTAAGGTTGCAATCTACATACTTTAAAAGTATCACTTGAGTACTAATCTTTTTGCAGCTAAGAAACAGTGTGTGGCTTAGAATAGCTTCCAAAAAGCACCACCAGCACTATCACCACCACCACCCCACACATACACATGCAATTCATTTACTAGTACCAGAAAAGGAGTCCTGGTGTGGTGCTATAGGATAGGCACTGACTGCTAACCATGAGGCCGGAGGTTCAAACACACCAGTCACACCTTGGAAACCCTATACAGAGTCGCTGTGAGTCTGAACGACTGGAGTGCACTTAAACAACATCATTATCAGAAAATGCAGTACACATTTGAAAATAACAATAATGAATAATGATAATGATGAAAATGGAAGGAAAACCCATCACTACGGTAATATAGGGTCAATAAACAAAATAGGACCAAAAGAATGAAAAATAGTCTAAGTAGTAACATTCAAAATAACTCTTTGAAATAACAACAATTTTTACACAACATCGCTTACCTTCTAATAAGGCTTGAACTAATATACAATAAGATTGCAAAGACTTCTTGGTTCTTTGACTCACATGTCATCTACACTTCCACAATAACAAAAATACACTTCATTCACGTGTCAAAAAATGACAAGAAAATGAATGACAAGATAAGCAGTTTTGGAATATCTCAAGCAACAGTTTTGGGAAAATAGGCAAATTCAACTCCAAAATAGTGGCTAACTGTCCTCTCCAAGCAATTTACTCTATATTTTCACTATTATTTTAACTTAAGATAACGTTGCAAAGTTTTATTTGGTGATGGCTCAATTATCGATGCTTCTTTTAAATTAAGCATTCTCTTACACATAATGAAAAATAGACTTATGCAAGAATTAAAGCGTTGTTGCCACTTACATTAATGACTATCCATGATTAGAATCTATGAATGATTCCTCAATAGCGCCAATAACCACATACTAAAATTACCTCGAATAACTCTACATTTAAAAATCCAAAGACGGGAAAAGGTCACCTGATCAGGCAATACATTAATGGTGTAGGAGGAAAGCTGGGCTGTACGCGGTACCAACCTTCTCTCCCTTTCTCCCTCCTCCCCACCCACCACCCCCATGTGTCAGGTGATCAGTTATTTAGCACCATCAACACGCACGTATCGACAAGTGGTGGTTCATTAAATTACACGTATTCTCGAAAAGCAAGCTTCTAGGCTTCTCATTTCAAACTATGCAAAAGGAGTCGACAGTTTGGGTCCCGAGCACAAAAGCGCGCGTTAGCAGGAGGATGGATGGGACGCCAACTCCCCTCACCCCTTCAAAAGCGGGGGCCGGGCTCAGCCTAGCGATCAATGATGGCCAGTCCCCGCTTCCCGGACCCTGGTCCCAAAGCTCAGTATCAGGGCCGCCAGAGCGAAAACGCTCAAACTGGCAGGTCAGGAGGGCAGCGGCCTGGACCCCCTTCAGGTAGTACACGCCGGGCCTGCGCGCCCGCGCGGCAACAGCAGAGCACACTCGCTCCCAAGAGCAAGGGAGCAGCGGACGGGGAGAGGCCTCGGGCCGAGCGCTCAGCCTGCGGACCGCACCGCCTCGGCTCCCTCCGCATCCCGTGGTCTCAACGTTCCAAGGCGCGGCCCATGGAGACCGAGGACGTTGCGCAAGAGCCCCGAGGGGCGATTTCCCTGTAGCGCGGGAGAAAGGAGCAGAATGTCTGCCGAGGAAGGGGCGGGGAGGCCCGCGGAAGCTGAGCGTGTGGAAGGGATTGGGGGAGGGGAGAATGCCCGTCTGTCTCCTTGGCCGCGGCCACAGCCGCAACTCACCCAGCTCCGCCAGACGAGCGCTACCACTGGCAGCAGGAGGAAGATGGTGGCCGTGGCCGTGGCCGCCGCCGCGGAAGAGGAGGAGGAGGGGGCCTGGTGGGTGCCGCGGAGAGGGGGTACGCGCAGGACGTCGGCGTCGCTGCCACAGCCTCTTTTTCTCCCAGGAACAGGCGGCTGCTGCTGACGACACTATTTCTGGTTTTTTCGCTGCCCTCCTTGTCCTCTTTGCAGCCGCCGCTGCCCAGGGCCCGAGGGTCGCTCGCCTCGTGGGGACCGTGCGGCGGCGCAAGACCCCGCAGCCATCGGCGTGCGGCGGGGGCTGGAGCGTGGCCGCGTCACGTGACCTCACTGTTTACCGTTCCAGGGGCAGGGCCTGCGCCGCTGCTGCGCCTGCGCCTGTGGGGCCTATGGTGCCGCGGAACCGGACAGCCATGCTCTTCCGTGCTTCCGTTCCCTCCCTGTTCTCTGAGGACGCGGCAAAGCTTTCTAGCTTCCCGGTTTCGCTTAGGCGGTGCCTTAGAGGTTAGGCAGAAGGTGATCGCTCTTTCTCGATAAATGAGCACTAAGATTTACTAGTTAATATAATATTGATGTGCAAAGCTGCTGTCTCAACCCCATCCTCAGCGTACTTTGTGTTATCTACACATCCCCACCATTGTTAGATGCCCAGGAGTCGATTCTGACTTATACCGACCTTCACCACTAATTATCCCCCATTACATTTTCACTATGCTCCCAACCTGATCTGTTTCAGGATTCAGGTTGTCTCATCCAGGAAGCTCTAGGTATCTAAAGTCTAAACCGTTCTCAAAGTGTGGTCTGAGGATACCCTGGAGGGATCCCCAAGAGCTTTCTAAAGGGTCTTTGATTCTTTTGCCAATTACATATATGTGAAGCTAAATTTTCGTCATCTCCTTAATTAAGGCAACATAGGAGGGTAAGTCATAAAAGTAGTACTATAAAATCAAACAACCTTTATTAAAAATATCAAAATGTGAAGGTATTCTTTCTAAATATCTTCCATCTAGTTGTATACACTTCTGAAAGCAGTGTTTCCATCTCTAACCTTTCCCTAAGAATTCCGTGCTCTGTGATTTATACCATGTCATAAAAGCAGTTGTGGTTTTCTCCAGGAACTCAAATTGTGACCTCTTAAATGTTCTTTGGATTCCTGGTGTGGCGCTGTGGGTTAAAGCTCTGGGCTGCAAAGTCAAGTTGAACCCAAGGTTGGCGGTTCAAGCTCTCCTTGGAAACCCTATACAGGGTCACTATGGGTCGAAACTGACTCAACCACCAACGGCACTTAACAAAACAAATGTCCTTTGAGTTTGGGAAACAAAAAAGGTAATCTGAAGAGGCAAGAACTATAGAGGATGAGCAAAGAAAGGTTTCCCAACAAGATTTTTGTGCGACAGCCCTTACCCTTACAATGTCATAATGGAAAAATTCCTTAGTGAAACTTTCCTGGCCTTTTTCTCACCAATTCACTTTTCAATTTTGATAAAATTGCTTCTTAACAAGCCCTCTGTAATCATCCCTGTGTCATAAGAGAAAATATATCAAGATTATTATGTGCCTTACAGTCTCTTTCAACTCATAAGGACCCTGTATAGGGTTTCCAAGGAGTGGCTGGTGAGTTTTTAACCACTGACCTGTGGTTTAAACAGACCTTGCGATCTAGTGCTTTATCCCACAACACCTCATATCAAGATTACCCCGTAGGAGTCCCAAGAAAACAGTTGCCATAACTTTCTGAGTTGACCTGTCTTGAGTTTAACTGCCCCTGCAGGTTCCTTAGAAACCACAGTTTTGACTGGACCTTTTATTTGAAGGCATCCTAAAGAGATTAAGATTGCTGATAAAACTTGTCTGCAGCTGATCACAGAGTCATGTTTAAACACGTTTTGTTTAGAATGAACCAGTGCACATGTGAACTGGAAAACCTAGTAGCAACACTTTTTTACTTAACTCTGTATGTTGCCATTAGTTGCCTGTGGAATTAGCACCTACTCAAGGTGACCTTCTCTCTCTCTCTCTCTCTCTCTCTCTCTCTCTCTCTCTCTATATATATATATATATATATATATATATATATATATAGGGTCAGCTCTGGTAGCGTAGTGGTTACGAATCAGGCTGTGAGCCCCAAGGTCAGCAGTTCGAAACTACCAGCTGTTCCACGGGAGAAAGATGAGGCGTTCTACTCCTGTAAAGATTTACAGCCTCGGAAACCCTGTACAGGGTCGCTATGAGACGGAACCAACTCCACGGCACACAACAACATATATATATATATACAAATGTTGCCACGTCCTGTGTCATCTCCAAGATCACTGGTGGACTTGATTCATTTGTTGTGGCTAGTGTGCTAATCTGTCTCCTTTTCAATGGCTCTCTATCAAATATGATATCCTTTTCTAGTGATTGTTCTTCCCTGATTATGTGTCCAATCCAATGTAAGGAGCAGAAGCCTCATTATCCTTACTTGTAAGGAGCATTCTGGTTGTATTTCTTCTAAAACAACAAGTTAAATGCAGAAATCTATATGAGAATCCAGCCATCTATTAAACTGGACATTAAATTTATTAAGGCTTAAAACAATGCCACTCTTTTTGTTAAAGTTTGCAATATTTTTTTCAAAATATTTATGGTAGCAGGTAATTGGTCTAATTTTTTCATAAATTAATATTTTACATTTTTCTTAGGTTTTGTTTTTAAGGTGGTAGCATAAACTGTTTGCCCTCAACTACTAATCAGTTCAAACCCTTCCAGAAGCACTGCAGAAGAAGGTGTGGCATCCTGTAAAGAATGGTGGTGGTGGTGGTTGTGTGCCTTCAAGTCAGTTCTGACTCAAAGCAACCCTGTATAAGGTTTTCAAGGCAGTAAATCTGTATGGGAGCAGAAAACCTCGTCTTTCTCCCATGGAGAAAGTGGTGGATTCAAACTGCTGACCTTGCTGTTAACACCCCAATTCATCAGCCACTACACTGCAGAGTTCCTTCTATAAAGATTACAGCCAAGAAAACATGGAACACTTCCTCTCTGTAACTGAGACCAGGGTGAGTTGGCATCAGTTGCAGTGACAATGTTTGGTTTTTAAAATATCGCTAGATATAGTGCATATAAACAACAAATTCTCCAGAGTCCTGAGTTGTTTTTAAGAATATATAGAGCTCTAGAGCCTTGGTAGCACACAGTTAAGCACATGGCTGTCAATGGAAAGCATGCAGAGGTTTGAACCTACCAGCAGCTTCATGGGAGAAAAGAGCTGGTGATCTGCTCCTGAAAAGGTTACAGTGTAGGAATCTCTGGGCCTGTTCTAACTCCGTCTTACTGTCTTGTTACGAGTCAGAATCCACTAACAGTGTACAACAACAAATAAAAGTAAAGAACAAACCGTTTCAGAATTGCTGCTATAGGTTATATGTTTCTGCAGCAGCTAGGGCTGGTCCCTATTCTCAGCGCTTAATAAGTACTCTGATGTAATTGTTGCTTGTCTGTCACCCTGACCAGGCCCCTTAAGGACAGGGATTGTGTCTTCCATCTGCAGTACCCAACAATTAATGGGCATTTTAGGGTAGGGGAGTGGGGTTAAAGAACGATAGCACCTTTTGAGCTCTTATTATGAGGCCTGCTTTCTCCTAAAACTTTGATTTGTTGATATAAGCCCACACCAATTGCAGTTTATGTAATAAGATCTGTGCAGGATAGAATGATAATTCACAGGCATGTGGTAAAGATCTTTTCTTTCCTTTCTCCAATATTCTGATGTTTTAAGCTCTCCAAATACCAAATGTCCTTTCACAAAGAAGGTTTTGGATTTCCTGATTCTGCCAAAATCCTAGAATCTCACCTCCTGCAATGACTCATCAATCCATAGAGATTTTGTTTTTGTTTTTTAATATTTCTTGAAGTATTTTTTGAGAAAGGAAAATAGAAGTGAGTTGTGATAGTTAGAATTTTATGTCAACTTCACTGGGCTAGGATTCTCAGTTGTTTGGCAGCTAAGTAAGATATGATGAGATCTAATATAATGTAATCACATTCATAATGGGGCATGCTCTGAACAGCCAATCAATTGAAGGGAAGTTTCCTCCTCGGAATGTGACTTGCAGCGTCTTTCATCTTACAAAGATAAAAGGAGAGAGAAGTGAACAAAAAAAGAGGAATCTATTACCACCATGAAAGAAGAGCCTGAGTGGAGTGTGTTGTTTTTTTTTTTTTGAACTGGAGTTCTTCCACTGTGAACCTCCTAAATCCAGGAGAAGATTGATGCCAAGATGCATGGAGATCTCCAAAGAATGCTGGGCCTACAGATATTGAAAGAAGACAAGGAACTTTCCCCAGAGTTGACAAAGAAAGAAAGACTTTCCCTAGAACCGGCATTCTGAATTTGGAGTACTGGTCTCCTGAACTGTGCGAGACTCAATTTCTGTTTGTTAAAGCCATCCCTTGCAGTATTTCTATTATAGCAGCACTAGGTAACTAAGACATGATTGATCAAAATATTTTTTTCCCTTGGGATGTCTGAGATAAAATTTAAATACAAGATTACTATTATCTTTACTCTTCTAAATCTTAATGTAAAATTTGAAAAGCATACTAGGAAAATGTAAAATTGTTTTCCTTTTTTATATTTATGTGTTGGATTACACTGATTATTTTTCTTATATTGAACCATCCTTGCATACCTGGTATGAATCCCAATTGGTCATGATATATATTTTTTTGCTATGTTATTGGATTCTATTGGCTAGGATTTTGTTGGGAATTTTGAAATCTGTGTTCATGGGGGATTGTTGTTGTTATTTGTTGTTGTTGTTAAGTGCCATCGAGTCGGATCCGACCCATAGCGACCCTGTACAGGGTTTCCGAGGCTGTAAATCTTTACGGGAGCAGAACGCCTCATCTTTCTCCCGCGGAGCGGCTGTTGTTATTTAAGTGCCGTCAAATCAGTTCTGACTCATAGCAACCCTGTATAGGATTTCCAAGGAGCAGCTGGTGAATTTGAACCACCAACCTAGAATC